AAAATTGATTTTGCCCTGGGGCATGCTATTTTTCTCTGCAAGAGGAGATGCAAAATACAATCAGGAAAACAGAGAAAATATTAAAGTAAGGATACATTATTAACTGAACCAACTAGAGATGACCTCAAACTAATCCTAAAAATGCAAGGTTTCTCTGAACTAATTGGAAACTGTAAACACAATGGCTTCAGATTTATATGTAACCAGAAAATTGCCAAGGCAAATCAATTGGGCACTAAAAGAAAGGAAACTTCTAAATAACAGATTGGTAAAATAGAAGTTGAAACAGAAACCTGAGGGGTCAATTCTCTATTGTTCAGAGTTATTCAAAGCTAGAAATAGAACAGGGGCAGGTTATGTATGCTTTTTATAGAAAGCATAATTTCAACGAAGTCAGAAACCTCAAAAAGTTTACACACACACACACTGCAAGAAACATCCCATCAAACCCAAGAGGTCACCAGCAGTTAAGAAAATGTGAAATGAACTGTTAGATAAGTAAGGTTTCTTTCAGAAAGTTTCCAAATAAGGAAAAAATGTAAACTTGCACAAATACGCCAAACTTCAAAATGAAAATCTAATTGGAAGGCAATCCAAAGCTACCTTGAAGAGCTCTCATCAAAAACAACTACATTCACTTCCGAATACACATATAGACAATTATTACTGTCTGCTGTCAAGCCTCGACTGGTCTTCCCTGAGTGCGGCCTAAGTTTTCTTGGGCTTGGGTCGCATTACCGGCTGGAAAATCAGAGGCTAGATTACTTAGCATATTGTGGGGGGGGGGGAGATCAGGTTCTGGGAGATAAACCGCAACAGCATTTATTATGACAGCTTTTATGTTTTAATCAACTAATGGGAGGAAGAGGAAGCACGTGCATCAGCCACAAGGTTAAGGCTTGTTTGTTTTGCATGCATTCAAGAGGCAGCTGACAGCAACCGCGGGACGGGCGGGAGAGCATCTGCGCCTGAAGTTTCCCCCTCCCGCTTGAAAAAAAAGCATCGCTGCGGCCACGCAACAAAAGCGCTTCCAATTGAGAAATCGGAGGGACCGCTCCATTCCGTTTCCCCTCGCCGCCCCACGTGACTCGGGCAAAAGCGCTTAACCTCCTCCTCCGCTTCGGCTTACAGGCAAGGCGGAAAGTGACTACGTGCCACTCCCCACGTGGAAACAGCCCCCCTCCCCACCCCGCGACAGAACAGCCAGAGCTGCAGGTTGGGGCTTATGTCAAGGGCGGTGGCCCAACGAGGGAAGAGCGACGTCCAATCAGAGATCCCAGCGACCGGGGCGCCTATCCAATCGCAACGCTTGAAAGGAGGAGTTGGGATGCAAGCTTGACCAATCCGAAACCAAACCGGGAAGAGTTGGCGCTGGAGGCCAAGAGACGAGGATGGGAAGGAGGAGACCCAAGGGAGGGCGGGGGGGGGTGAGAGAGAGAGAGAGAGAGCCAATCGCGAAAGAAGAGCCGCTGGCAAAGAAGCTGAGAGGAGCCCAACCTTATCACTAAGGGCGGGAGCACGTTCAGTGGCTAAAATAGCATCCAGCTGCAAAAGCGCGCGCTCGGGCTGCTAAGGCAATAGGAAAGGCACCTCCCTCGCCCTCCCGCTGTGAAGAGGCGGGGCTTGCTATTTTCGCCGATGGGCGGGGGAGCGGCCCTCCCCCCACCCCGCTCAAGAGAGGCGGTCGGTCGGGATTCCACCTCTCCTCCTCTTTCCCCCCACCTCGCTCGCGCACGCCCAGTCATTAAAAAAACAAAAAACCCAGCCGTGAGGAGCTTCTACTGCCGTTGGGTACACATTTATCATGTTTGACAGCCGAGTTTGTAGGCTTGTTTACTTCGAAGCGATCTGGAGGCCTAATCTTCCATTTCCAGCCGTGCGCACGTGTAAAGCTTTGTCCCAGAGAAGGCCAGACTAGAAACCTTCAGACGAACCCTTCAGTATTTGGGACATGTTGTGGGGTCATGTAATGTCGTCGTCCGCGGGACAGAGAAGAAAATACAAGTCTAAACCAAACCAAACCAAACCTTTTAAGATGGTGCGTGGTTAAAAGAGTAGCTGGTTGTGCCCGAAAGAGCCCCAAATCCCACATCTTTTCGAGGAAACAGGACGCTTTTCGGTGCCGAGCAATGCATTTCTGAGGGCAGTTGTAGCCCTTACTGAATGACCACCCCGAAGCACCCTTATCCCTGCTGTCCGGAATACTGGAAATTCTTCGACATCCGGAGCGGGCCGACTGTACCCCGGTATCATTTGGCAGGCTCTGCAGGCCGATGGTGGGGCCCAGGCAAAAGACCCAGGTTGGGAAGGAACTGAAGCCATTGGTGAGTGGGGTCACCTCCGCAGACACTTAACTTGCCTTTCCCATTTCCCACACTTTCTCTTCAGTGGCTTGCTTTTCTACCATGCGAAGTCCCAGAACTTCGGGTTTCGCTCTCCTAGGTAAGGAATGAACAGAAGACCATAATAGGATCCACAAGGCTCCTATTTTTTTTGCTGCCACAAAGTCTGTGACTGGAAGTCGCTATTACAAGCCAGCTTCCCCCCCACTCCCGGGGAGATTGCTGTTTATAACAACGCATCCATCTTTTTTTTTGTTTGCTTGTTTGTTTGGTGTTGCCAGGGATGCTGGAAATAACTGATCTTCCCCCTTCCTCATGGTTCGTCTACCTTTGACTGTGTGCATGTGCCCTTGCAACGTTTTTTTAAGCCGGCTCCCCAAACTGCCTTCATCTCATTCCCAGCCTATGAATACTGTAAGACAAGCTTAAGCCATGATTAGCTGTAGTGGTGTTAGTTTTTTTTTTTCCTCTTTGAGAATGTGCAAGGGCAGTCTCAAAAATATGTAACGCTTTTAGGCTCCCAGCCCTCCCCTTTACTAATAAAGTCAGATGACTGGGAGCAGCATTGAAAGAGGCATAGCAATAGGGATAGAAAATGTTATGTTAGTATTCTAATGCTTTTTGCCAACTTAGTTTGAAGGAGAAATGGGTAGCACTTTTAAGTCAACAATGGGTAAATAGGACCTCAAGGCTATGATTTGCACAGCCCTTTTCCACTGTATTTGCATTTCCAACCATTAGCCAATTAAATACAGTGCATCACTACACCAAGACAATTGTCTATCCCCACACTAAAGGCAGAGTGAGTTCCACCAAGGATTGCTAATAAGAAATAGCTCAATGACTGGTAGAGGGCAATTAATCCAGATACTAAAATATTTGGTATATTGTAGAGTTGAACCTGGAGGTCATCTAATCCAATTATGATTATTATAATTATAATAATACGACTTCAGCAACAGAGTGGTCAATGTCTGGAATACTCTACCTGACTCTCTGGTTTTTCCCCCAAACCCCCAAAACTGTAACCTTAGACTGTCTACTATTGACCTCACCCCTTTCCTAAGAGGTCTGTAGGGGACGTGCATAAGCACACCAAAGTGCCTACCGTCCCTGTCCTATTGTTTCTTTTATTTTTCTTATATGTACCCATTTCATGTATTCATAACTATGTATATACTTATACCTATTATCTTGTAAGCAATCAAATCAAATAAATATAAATAAATAAATAAAATTCCCTGCCCAGTACCGGAATCCTCATCATCCCAGAAAAATGATTGTCCACACCTTTCAACATTCTGGAGTGAAGAATTGAACTAAAGCCTGTGATGATGAACTGATGTTTAAAAAAGAAACACAGAGAACAGAGAGATGATTGAAAAAGTTTATATTCCAAAAATCTCACAAGGGGCAATTGATCTAATATCTTCTATTGGAACTATTTTTGTTGCTTTTTGCCATGTAATGTCCATCTTCTTTTTCTTAGTAGTGTTTTCCCACAGGTGCAGAGTTCAAGTGTTGATCCATTGGTTGCAACAGAAATTGACCAATTGGCAGAGATTGATTGGTTGAGGCAGAGATTGATTGGCTCAAAGTTACACAGCTGGCTTTCATACCTAAGGCAGGACCAGAACTCTGTCTATAGTTTCTAACCTGGTGCCTTAATCACTAGACCAAATTTGCTCTACTGTAATGTGTACTTGTATACTTCAAAAATCCCCATCATATATATTAATCAAGTGGCGATCTCACCCTGCCATCTTATCCAAGATGTTTACCACTGAAAATCCTAGAAACGAAACCTGACATTGTCTGTATATAAAGGGTGTGCACTGTTAAAAGCTATGGACCCTCCCAACTCATTTTGTAACTTCCAAAGCAAAAGCAGTTTGTGGCTACCTTTGGGCTAAGGATCAGCACATTCTGTAGGTCAGTGGCCAATTTTCCTTCGCGCTTTTCACCAAGGGGGGAAAAAAGGATCTTTTGCCAAAATTCTGTGCTTTTCTAACAAAATGAGCACATATAACACAGCTGAGACTTGTATTTAACCAGTTATAAAATATTGGATTCTGCCACTAAGCAAAGTATTACTAAAATAAGATTTTTGATATCTATAAATCACCTAGCAAATAAAGATTTTAATAATTACGGTTTCAATTACTGGAAATCCCTCTCCATTAGTTTTTAAGCTGCTTTACTGTTACCGTGTTTCTCCAACAATACGGCCTCCACCAATAGGAAGGCCCAGCATGCTTTTTTGGCATAAAATCAAATTAAGCCCCTCCCCTCAAGTTTAGGCCTATTTTAAAACATGCAAAATAAGGGGGAAGGGCAGGGGGACTTGCTGTTAGGAGTACCCCGCGGGCAGCAATTCCTCGCCACCAGCTACTCCTAACGGGCGATCATGGCGGAGCGCGGAGAGCTGCTTACTCCCACCAAACACCTTTGCTGCAGACCCAAGACCTTTGGCACCCGCCGCTGTTGCTTTCCCTTCTGCCCATTCCGCCGCCACGTTTGGAGCTGCCACTTCCGTGTTTGGAGTGCCACCGCCTTTGGAGCTCCAAACAGCGGCAGTGCTCCAAACGCGGAAGTGGCAGCTCCAAACATGATGGCGGTGCTCCAAACACGGCGGTAGTTCCAAATGTGGAAGCAGCAGCTCCAAACATGACGGTGGGCGATCTTTTTATTTTGGTCCGCGCGAAGTTCAGAGCGAGCATGAGAGGGAGACTGCGATGCCTCCATCCGAGATGGCAACCTCACTAGTGGATCACAATGTGGCTGGAAGCCCGAATTGGCGGGAAACGATGGCGATCTTTTTGGAGCGAGAGGAAAGGGAGAGAAGAGTTGCGAGGCGTAATTTGCAGGAGGAAGTGGGTGTACCCCACGGCAGGGAGCCCAAGGAAGAAGGGCTGGTAGGCAACGGAGAGCGTCCTGTAGCTCCGGAAGCAGCCTAGAGACACGCCCGGGAAGAGGCGCAGATGCTGCCTTGTAGTCCCCAAGCCAACTGCATGCGCTGCCTTTAGTTATGTGCGCTCCGCACTTTGGGCATTTCCATATGATCGTGACCCTGTCCTTTCCACCTGGCGCCCTTGCTGCTTTCTGGCTCTTTAGCAACCGGCTTCGTGTTTCTACCAGGAGATAATTCTTTGTAGATATTGACAACCAGCCACGTTGTGATCCACTAGTGAGGTTGCCATCTCGGATGGAGGGATCGCAGTCTCCCTCTCATGCTCGCTCTGAACTTCGCACGGACCAAAATAAAAAGATCGTCCACCGTCATGTTTGGAGCTGCCGCTTCCGCGTTTGGAGCACTGCCACTGTTTGGAGCACTGCCACTGTTTGGAGCTCCAAATGGCGGCGGCACTCCAAACACGGAAGCGGCAGCTCCAAACGTGGCGGAATGGGCAGAAGGGAAAGCAACAGCGGCGTGTGCCAAAGTTGTCTGCAGCAAAGGTGGGAGTAGGGAGCTCTCTGCGTTTCACCATGATCACCCGTTAGGAGCGGCTGGTGGCGAGGATGCCGGGGTGGAATTAAGTCACCCCCGAAAAGATGGCCTAGCCGTTTTATCGGGGCTCAAAAAAAAATAAGGCCCGGCCTTATTATGTGAGAAATAAGGTATTTCATTGGGGCTCCTTTATTATTAGGAAACTTATATTTGACCTGAGAATTGTTTACAAAAATAAAGAAAAATCAACAAAATAAAGCACAAATATTAACACATGTAAATTGCTCAGAAAGGAAATAAAAAACATATAAAATGGATTTTAAAAAACAGCAGAAACAATAGCTCTTATTGGTCTATTGTTTCTTCTGTTTTTTTAAAATCTAGTGTAAAGATTTTTTACTTACGATACTTGGCATACTGCATACTCTTAACTAATATGGAAGACCGTTATCCCTCATTATTGGGATTCTTATTTATTAAGCATATACTGCATAGATGGAATGAATTATTTGATTGTAGTTTAATACTTTACATTAAAATACTTAATTCGTGTTAACTGGTCTTGTGCATGTTATCATATTTGTCTAATCTACATTTTTCTATATAAAGTGTAAAAGGTTTAGAGAGGATGTGGCCACTGCTAGTTACATAACCACAGTTAACAATGCTCTGCAAAACACCCTGAGGCATCCTATTCTACAGCAAGATGGAAAGCCCTCTGTATTTCATTCAAAAAAGCCAACATGCAACTTCATACAGGATAAGTGTCTATTGGACAAATGAAATTTTCTGGTATTTGATTTTTAACTATTTGATCACTGTTTTGCACTCTGCAAAGCAGATGTCTATATGTTGTGAATGCTAGTAGCTATTCTCTTAATTTCCTGCTATAAGAAGTGAATGGATATGAAATCAGGAATGTTCCATTCAAAATTGTTTTTATTATTTTAAAAACTTAACTTCCATGTAAGTGTAGTTCCACTAAAGTCTATACACTGTAGATTAATTCAAACAGTTTTGTAGCATTTTCAAATTTATTGAAAAGATTTAACATGGCTCTCCCATGGGAAACTAACCCTCTGAAATACAGAGTTAGTTCAAAACATACTCTGAATACTATAGTAGTGGCTAATCATGATAAGGCTGTACCAACCAAGATACTTTTCATAGTAAGATCATCTTAGGGCTACCAAATCTGTGCTGTAAAAATCCATATGACTACTTGATGGCCAAAATTAATATTTTCTGTACTTCTGTTATTTGATCCTGTCAGTATTTTGCAGCCTGGTAGCCTTAGAGTTCTTGTAGTATACTAAACAGATATTAAGAATATGCAATTGGTGTGTTCATATGCTGTCCCCATATATTATGGCCTAATGTGATAGACCAGTTCAAACAACAGTCTAAAATAAGGGCTGGGTTCCCCCAATGTATCACCACCTACCCAATTCTAATAAGGCATTAACAAATGTATTGCACAAATCTATTAAGCAAGTTCTATTGCAAGTCAGTTGATAAATTATATAGTTCTCTACATATCAACTGAGAAGGGTTTAAGTCCAAGGTGCTTTTGTAAAGCAAGTTAGACTGCAGAAAAATCAGAATACAGCACAGATCTAGTAACCCTATGTATATCAGTAACAGGAAATGGAGGAGACCTATTAGAAGCTACAGTTCAGATAAAATAACACTGTTTTATTGAGTACTTTAGAAGTAGGCATGTTAAAAAACCTGGGAATATGTTGGAGGTGCTTTTTGAAAAGGCTTCCATCTGAAGCATGGATATTGACAAAACAAAAACTGCATTTACCAAAAAGCAAACTGCTAAGATTGCTCCCATCACCATATTCTTATCACCCCAACTTAGTTATGTTGTTTTTCAAGGCAACTGGGAACTCTGCCAAAGCAATGGCAATATTTACCTGATACACTGAATCCTAAACTAGCTAACTTGGGTAATTTGTCCATAGTTATCTATTATGCAACCCAGACTACTTGGGCTGAATAAATCATATTCAGATTAGCAAAGTATAAGCATATTAGTCTAACCATATAACAGCAACAAGACAATTTTCACAGATCTGGAAAACTAAAACTCCTGGTTAGTATTTGGATAGAGTCTGTCTAGGATGTTCAGAATAGTATAGGATAGATTGGGAAGTCTAAAACATTCCAGAAAATGATCATAGCATTTGATGTTGCAGGAAAAAAAACAAGAACATAGCCATGTAAATCATCAAGCTCAACTTAAAAGGTAACCTTTATAAGGCATGTGAGAAAAGCCATTCAGTTACAACCATGCACTATTTTCTCATTCTAAGATTGCCTATGAGGCCAGTATTTGGGCTTTGTAACTTATCAGCCTCCCCTCAAAATGTCAATCTAATTCTTTTAAAACCTGGATAAGTTAGGAAGTTTATCAGAAGCCAATGAGACGGTCATAGGTACATTACCTACTCCATTATTAGAGTAGATGGTTGCAGTCTTTGGAATTATGTCCACCAAATATCAAGGCTTGATAAATGCTTGCCAAACACAAGCACCTCTCAGGTTGTATGCCTTCGGACACCTAAGTGTAATAACAGGCTCGGTACATTCTGGTTTATGCTTTATAGGCGAAGTACATCCTGGTTTGTGCTATATAGCCTTGAGCAAGGCACTGTTCTGGATTTTGCCTGAAGCAGAAACTACCTGTGTTTACTCCATGTGGTATTTCTTTTGTGCTTTTTGCTCTTTTGCTCTTGCATCTTTACACTTATGCAAGTTCTCAGAGACTTTCTAGTATATTAATTACATTTGCATGAAATTTCATTACATGGGATTCATCTAGTGGAACAAATTTCAAAGAAATTAGACCAAAGTATAGGATACACATCAGCCTTTAGAAAGGAGTAAAATATAAATGCTTACATGAATATCCTACTAAGACACTAGCTCACTGAATAATTTTCTAAGGAGAGTTTGGATTGCCTTTTTTATTCACTGAAAGCCATTACTTTTCTTTAAAAAGTTTTATCATAGTCCTGAGAACTTTCACCACCACCACCACGGTGGTTAAAGAAAGGAACAGAAATTAAACCCACACATGCTTTTTTTCCCCTGCAGCTGCCAAATATTTTCTGAGCCAGAGAGATCCAGTCTCAGCAGGCTGGATATATAAACGTGATGAGGGAGGGGATCTGTGTTGTTTGGTTTGGCGCTCTCTGCTGTAAAGACACCCACATGCAAGCCAAAAGGGGGCTGAACTTTTTCTTTCCTTAAAGAGACAACATCAGGAAAGCTGGAAAAGGGTTCCCTAAACATCGCTGGTTTTTTAGATGATGTCAGTTAGTGGAAGATTTACATTTCATTGCATCTCAAACTTCTTCCCAGCTTTGCTTCCAAATATTGGCTCTGTTGTGATTGTCAGCTAGATAATTTTAATTTCTTGAAAGCCTCAGTACTGTATTTTAACAATTTAAAGGCTTCAATTAATACCACAATTTAGTGGCACATTAGTTGGCCTTGTCAAATTCAAGATATTATCTGATATGCAAGATACGTTTTCTTTACAGGCCAATATTTACCAGTAACATTAGGTTCTATGAGAAAGCAGGACAAAGCTTAGTGAGATAAGCACTCCAGTGTTTCCATATCCTTTGACATTTGGCTAGAGAAAATAGGAGTCCAGCACTTAATATCAAATTCTGAGTTTTTCTTATCACATTGGATCAAACAAGACCTAAATATTTTTCAGAACTCTGGCAATACTTTAAAAATCCCAGCAAATCCTAGTGTGTGTTTTAAATAGATATCCCTGAGAAACTAATGCTGAGATTACCGTATATGGTTTATGAATTACATTTTATGTACTAATCAAGATATGTTTTATTTTTATTCTACACCTAGATAGTTCAAGACAGTTTGTAATAATGAACTTTATAAAAAAATACCTTGTGAAGTGGGCTACAGTTAGAGATAGCAACTGACCAGAAGTTTCAAGGGAACATCAGGACTAAATCAGAATTTGACCACCAGTAACTTCAGATCAATACATTATGCTTTGAAATAGGTTTCAGAAACCATAACTAAATTTAATCATAGTCACTCCATATATAGATTCACGTTAGATTATGTTCATATGACACATTTAAACTGATTACTGAATAAAACACATTTCTTGAATTGTGCAGTACATTGAACTATAATCAAAGAAGCTAGGTATGCACAACACACTTAGCTAAAAAAAAACCCAAACCTTATCAAGGTAAACACTAAGCAAGTTTAGTATACGGTGGGTGAAAGCATATACTAAATCTTTAACTGAGCAAGTTAGCCATTAGAGCTTCTGAATTTCTCTGGAGCGGAAATGATATGTTTAAGATTGGCACTTTGGCAGTGCTTTATTTTATTATTATTGTTATTATAATTCACCGCACAATCAGCCAGA